TGCTTGATAAGGGGACTTTATCAAAGTAAAATTTAATTGAAGACGAGATTGAATGAGGTAGGCAACGGCACATGTGTGAAGTTTAGTTATATGGCATTGCATGGTAAACAAGTGGGCGCCGTTCTTCGCTCTCTACCGAAGATAACAAACGCAATGGAGGTCGTAAGAACTTAAAATGCTTTGCACGCCGTCAGGTCATGAGCGTACGTAACGTCCCGTTGCGTGTAAATTTTTTAAATACGATTTTTCCGGCGATCGGCCAATGTTTTGAAGGTTTAACAGTTAAAATTGAAGAAGTGTTACAATAGAGTTTTCCAATTGCTGCACAGTCAGTGTGGATGCATGCAGTTATATAGGAGGAGTCTATGTTAAAGTTTGTACCCGAGCTGCCATTTGCTGTGCTGTGACAAAAGTGTGCTGTGTTCGTCATTTATCGCATCTATGCAGGCGGTTTCAGAGCAAAAACTTATTTATTATTAGTGAGTAACTTTTGAGAATTTTTTTTTCTGTATTCGACCGTTTGTGAGGGGTATAAGGTTTAATTTGTGTAAATTTGAGCTAGCTAGGTAAGTGTTCTTTGAGCGGTGTAATGAATTCATGCCATTGCACACAGCAATATACTACAAACAAGAATTGTGAAATAGCATTAATACATCTATTTAAGACAATTTCTTCTTGAAAGTTAGTGGCACTTCCATATGTTTCCACTTAATTAGCAAAGCATAAATGAAGAAATTAATTCCACACTTGCAACTTATTAAGCAAGGAATACAGAGCGTACCGGCAATAACTGTATTAGGAGTACACTTGCATTTTAGTAAGCAAATAATATCGATTGCAGAGAGTAGTTTAACATTAAATCCATGCCAGCAATAAATAATGTAATTTACTCTTGTTACCCACAGAAGCAATTCATAGCCTCATTCAAAACTTGCAATTTGTTAAGTACGTAACATTAGCGAAAAATACTACAATCCAATAAAATTAAACTTGATTGCGCTAGCGAATTTCCTTAACAGCGAAATGTACTATTCAAGTGGTGTCGCGACGAAAGGAAGCTTAATAACGAACGCATGCGACACATATGGGCTCCTCTTAATTTTTCTTATCCTAGCTTAGGGCATACATCACAGCGTCGGTTGGTTGTTTTTAGTTAGTATTTTATTCTATTTAAGAATATAGTAAACCTTGCTTCTCAGTGGTTCTGCGCTTTTTGGCATTTGGAAAAAAAGAGGTACGCAGTCGGAATATTAAGGTACTGCAAAAAAATTGATAGTGCTCAGTAATTTACAGCTCAGTTCTCAATTTTGAAAATGTGAAAACTTAATTTTTTTACAAGGGAAACTTCAGGTTTCAGCGTTGAAGGAAAACTTTATTTTTCATTCCACTCCGACAGTTTGTAGGTATATCGCTATATGTTCCAAATGAATGCCTTTGTAGAATCTAGACTGAAACAAAAATATGTGCAGGCACTGTAGCATTATATATTTTCGGATAGTTTCCTTATCAAGAAACTAATGCTATTATGAACGTAAATGATATTGTGATAAAATCAAACACAAATACAGTAACACAATCCACAAGTAGGCATAAAAATAAAAAAGATTTTGTTACACTATCTAAAAACCAGAAACAAATTGATTTAATATTAATTTGGCGCTGTGACAGGTTTTGTTTGCGATCGCAATTTACTGCACTGTGTCGTCCGTCGGTTCGTCCGTCACACGTACCGATTTGGGCGATATTAGGCTCATTGGAAACAGCTTGGTGCAAGGATCCCCTGCGTAGTGATATTTTTGGTTTTGCGCATGCGCAGTGTCAAAAATTTTGTTGCCGTTAGACTTAAGCCTGCATATGCGCATTTATCAAACAAGAATCGAAGAAGAATACAACACAAGACGTCATCTTACCACCATCAATAATAATGATCGTGTCTGTTAAGAAGCAGAATGCCATTTTCTGTCGAACTTATTTGTGCAACGATGTAAAGCTTTCGTTGTTTAACCAGTCATCGTAATAATTAAAAAGCAATGCTTCATTGTCTATCGCCTTCGTTTGTTCATTGAACCTACTTCGAAGCAACAACAGGTAAGTCCTTCCACTCATATTCCTTTCAATCAAGCTTTAGAATCAATTTATATTATTTGTATTTTGAATCAATAAACACGTTAATCATTAGAATCGATATTCTTCCAACATTCCTCTTATACAAAAGCACATCAAGCCGTTACATTTAATATACAGTCCATTATAAATATCGAAACGCTTCATTTGTACACGCAACAGTAGCAGTATTCCTCCGGAGATTCGGATTTCGTTCTATATCGTCCGGCTTTAAGGTACCATCCCTTCGAGAAACGCAGTACTGATTTGTACCATATAGAGAAACCTATGTGTCGGTAGCCGAAGGCGAGCTCCTGGCCCACAATTGTTTAAGGCTCATTTGTCCATTTGAAAGGAAATATACCATTAATATCGCCGATGTGCTTTTGGAATTGACACACTTAAATTGTATTTAATAGCTTCGGAGTAAATAAACTGAATGTAAGATTATTGTTAATTATACATGAGTTTGCCCTCGAGTTTGCCGCTTTATAAGCGATATGTAACACTTAATAAGACGCAATAATAAATAAACGCAACTGCAAGGTCACCGTTTCGATTATGAAGGGGCGGGTTCGAACCCTGAAAGCACTTTTTTTCTATAATAAATCGCGACAAAACGAAGGGCGCGAGGGATTGTGAGAAAGAAAGAAGTAGTCACGTCACTTCCGTCGATACTCATCCAATGCCACTTTCGAATTTTTTTAATTTGTATTGAAATAGGCATTTTGGATTTTTCATTTTTGTCAGTTAAAAAAAGGATATTTCTATAGAAATGAGTCCAATTCTGTTAGTGTTTTGGATCTCCATTAGGTTTAAGGGAATGTTTTTTCTTTGTATAAAATTGCCATATTTATCATTGTTGTTGGGGGATAAATAGGTTAGAAAAGAAAAGTGGCCACCTTAAATAAGAAAAATGAAAAGTCTAAGAGAAATCGTTTTTTATTTGTCAATATACTTAATAATTAAACTTTAAATTTGTATTTATGATCTGCAGTCAATCAACTCAAAGGAGAACACCGAGTTTTTGATTTTCAACAACAATCATCATTGTAGTAAAAAGTTAATTTTAATTAGTACGATCGAAGGATTTGCACCCCTGTATTGTAACAAACTGTCACAGGAAAGGGATCAGTAAAATCCGCATATATGGCATCTTTTTTTTATTAATACCTGGATTTGAAATTTGACATCAGTTTTCATAGGGATGAAAATCAACCACAAAAAAATAGTCACACGATTCGCATTATCCTTCTCATTTTTTCAAAAAAAAAAAAAAGCTGAAGATAGAGTAAGTATTTCTGAAAGTATAAAACCGAGTATAAAACAGTTATTGACCAATTTTTAGCACCCGCGCGTTAGTAAGGAAACTATTGCATTGGGGTACAAAATGATCCCCCACTCTTTTACGGAAATGCACATTTTGAAGTACCATGAATCCGAATCAAACAAAATCTCGTTGATGTCGCTCCGTCTGTACGCTCATTTCCGGCTAAACGGCTGACCCGGATTGGAACCAAATTTGGTACACATTCTTCCGACATAAAACAAAGGGCTGAAGAGCTTTTGGACAGAACGCGCATGCGCCGGTAGTATCCGTGCGAGTCACGAATTTTTTTATAACGCACTATACCTAAGAATTGAGAAGTTTGTAACAAAAAAACAACAATATCCCTCCCAACGCATCTGATACAACCGTGTGTGAAACAAAACAATACCTTAAGTTTGGAACAGGAGACGCACCATTCTATGAGTATCTGTTATTAAAAGTGCCCCACACTCCTGCATTGCCGCACAGGTTCCCCGTAAATACGTTGTTATGGCTCTGCTTGTACCGCCCTTTTTTTACAATCAATTTGTCAATATGTCCAGCGAAGTAACCGTCTGGACTCAACTGCAATATTCATTATGCATATCAGAGTGCATATCTAATCCATGCGGTTTATTTTGATTAGTTTCCCTGATCGCAAACATCATATTGTTTATTTAAATGCTAAATCGTGTACATGAATACAAATATTTAAAAGTGACGGGTACAGACGAGCGACACATCTGAAAATATTCCAACAAGAAAGCTTGAACCCCAAGTAGTCCAGTTCCGCACGGCAGTGTACGTTGGGTTGCATACGTGCCGCTTATTATGAAAATTTGGAAATTTGTAAAGGACCGGAATGGATCAGATTTGTTTTATGATTATGGTACCTAATACCACAGTATAGTAATACTTCATTTAAACATTCTCGCAAGTTATTACACAGGATTAACTGACGTATAAATAGAAATTTCATTTCAATCAATACTTAAAACGTAGTGACGATTCAAACAAAATCACAATCAAACGAGGAAATTCCCCAATTGATTAATATTCATTAGATTAACAATTTCAAGTTAGGTTTATTTTATTTCATCCAATAGGAAAGGTGTTTGTATATAATTAACTAAAAAATGAATCAGAGGTTAGTCACGAGTTCAATTGCAAGAAATTTGTTAACAAAAATTCCAACAAACAGTAGGTAATTTCTCGTACTGTCGTAATTAAGACAGAGGTTTATCTAAGCGAAATTTGTAGATCTTGATTTTTGAACGCGATGTACATTGTTCTAACCAAATATTAGCGTTGATAAGAACTTCAATCCAAACTCAAGACTGGTTTGGTTACGTAAATGTTGCAACTGATAAAAATGACAATCACCTGGGACTTTGTCAATGCAAATTTACAAGTAAAAACAAGAGAAAGGCGTGGCTTTGACATTACTCATCGTTGATAAATAAAAACAACGAAAAATCGAATGTTTATTAAACAAACACGACGTATTTAATTGTTATCAACAGTCTGGGCACCACTTTGGACTTTATTATTGACGAAAATCGATAATATTTATTTAAATTTCACTCACCTCTTCGCTCAGCTTACCCTCCGATGCCATTTTTCCACACTCACTTCGTGAACTACCGATCGACCCCGAGGACAAACGTCAGTTATACTTCTTCAGTTTAATTGCAATTAAAATTTATTAGGCGGCAACGTAATCAAATTTGTACTACGTTAATTATTATTCGACAAACACTTTAGAAAACACCTCAACGTTTAATTGATCCAGTTTTATAAGTCATCCAAAGTACACTTATTCATAGGTTATTGTTTTGGAGTAATTGCAAAACTAACGTAACGAACACCTGCTCGTTTGCAAACAATTACAACTCGTCTAAACCTAAACTATCGACGTTGTCAGGTTTACACAATGCATTAACCTTATTTACGGAACAAGTTTCTACGCTGTTTTTAAGTCTATTAATCTGGCACTTTGACGGCTTCCTGGAGTTATTCGAATTATTGCAGGTCTCACAAATGACAAAAGGCCGAGTTCCTTTCATTTTTTTGCTTATTAGTAATTGATATTGCAAAATTGGTACAAACAAAACAAGCAGATATAGGTATACAGTGTGTCCCAAATCGAGTTGGATTACATGGCGGGTAACTTTCTTATTATTAAAGATAGCGAATTGATTAAATAGACAATGTTTTGCAGTTTTAGATGCTTATTTTTCAGTTCAGAATGTCGAATATAGGTTGGACGTAAATTCAAAAAAACTAAAATTGGTCATTTCCGTGAATGTCTTATATGTATCATCGAAAGTATAAAAGGTATAAAAAAAAGGGATGTATCTCGGAATTGTTTATTCTAAAAAAAAGTCAGTCTTTTGGTTAGGTGTTACCTTTTTCCTACAACTGATAACTCCCTTGCCCTTTGATACATACATCAAAATAAGAAAATGACGCATTTAATCAAGTCGAAAGCAAAACGCACACGTAGTTTTTGCTTTCTATTATTAAGGTATCGTTAGAAAATAAAATGCACTAGTGTGCCGGAATTTGAAATAGTATAGGTACCTATAACCTATATTGTTACATGTTATGTGAAGTAGTATATAATTTTCACGCCTGAACCTGCGGTTCTGCCCAAACACGAAAAATGTGTGCTAGTTTTTCACGTAACAACATAAGTTGTTATAATTAGGGTATTAGCCAGGTTGCGGACAGCATTTTCCGTTATGTTAGACGGCCATTTTTCCTTATAATATAAGTTTATAAGTATAAAACATTTTTATAGCAAAGTTAAGTTGCGGTGTGTGCTGGGCGTGTTCAATTTTGCTTATAAGTTTGAAGGAGTCTTAACCTCACTTTTATTTTACATTGTGTTAAAATGTCCAAAGTTCACTACTATGCTCTTAGACAAAAAGAAAAGAACTACCGCCAACATAAACACTGCACAATTGTAGGTTAGCAGGAAAATGTTATTTATGAGTGATTACGTACTGCGCAGTGACACATTATAAGAACTTCATTTTCATTGGTTCCGCTATTTATAAATATATCGTACAAAAAGCCCTCATACCGTAAATTATTTCTACAAAAATTTATATTTCTTATGTTATAAGAAAAAATGGCCGTCTAACATAACGGAAAATGCTTTCCGCAACCTGGCTATTATGGTGTGCAGCTCGATTTGCTGTAAATGATGAGGTTGAAGGATTTAACGACAATAGGTACACCACGTGGGATATAAGTTATAACCCAGGCAAAGCATTTACGAACAACTACCATGAGGTTTTGAAGCTGCCAACTGGTTTCGCAAATGACCTCATTCAAAATGGTATTGCTCGTGTTGAAGAAATTATGATTTAATTAAAAAAAACCTACGAACGAGATTTTCATTAATCGCGATTAGCGAACAAAATAATGCAAATGCAAAACATCGTTTGATAGAGGTGGCGGGGTGATGGGTGCCGGTGAGTGAGTTATTCTCGCATAATCTCCTCCCTTCCCTTTCGCCGCGTGACAGTCATTCAAAGTGCTTAAAATGACGAGTTTGCAAGTATAATTTTGCAAACAATTCCCCCTCTCCCGATGGTATTACATACCCCCCGCCAATCATTGGTCAAAAAGGCCCCGCAAAAATGTTTTCGCTCCAGGCCGCGCATTTGCTAAGGACGGCTCTGTAATGCGAGTGATCCCCACGTGTAGGTGGCAAATGAATTGTGGCAAAGCCAGTGTCGTCTAAATCGAGATGCAAGTGTATTCAAAGAAGTGAAGTTACGAAGTATCATCGTTTTGTGTCTGTGTTTATAGACCAGTTATAGAAATAAGTGCAATTGATCCGATATTTTGGTTATTAGCACGTTAAGGTAATGAAGATTTCGATCCCTTGTGGTGTGATATGTATATTCTGGCCCTGAGTGACTATTTTTATTTCAACCTTATTTGATTGATTCTGTTTGTATCATGTGTAAATGTTCTACAGTGATATTCATGTAGAAGTAGACATAGGGATTTCTTATGTCTACTTTTACTTGATAAAGTCTCCTGAAAGACGCCTAATTTTATGCAACCAATGTTTTTCTTTATCATAGTCCATGGCTACATAGACTAAAAACTCGTGAAAACAGAATCTTCATAATTAATTTTTTCGCGTACAAGAAGAGGTAGAATAATCGTTTCACATGATTTAGATGCAGAATTTATATCTCTATAACTTTTATTTGAAGTATTTTTGCGTAAAATAAATAGGAAACGTTTGCGCAAGAAAAAGTAATTTCCCATGTTAAACGCCTATGTTCCACTTTTCTATTTACACCCTGTACATACATTTAAATTAACACTTTCTAACTTTTAGGCTTGTGTTTCCATTTTCTGCGCATATAAAGGTTTTATTTATTTGACTGACGACTATACAAACTTTTTTTGTTTTAATATGTTGGTTTTTGTTCCAGAAAAACAAGCTTTTGTTAAATTTCATAACGTTTTATTCTGTCTGTTTTTTTAGGACATTAAAAAAATTTAAATATAATAGCAATAAAAAAACAATTTTTTTGTCAAAATTATGACAATTACAAACTAACAAATTTTTGAATGTGGTATTAATCCGGTCACAATTTTGGTTCACGGAGGGATGGTGTCCGGGAATTCAACACGGTCGATGTGGCAACCCTATCCACATCCAGATCCATAATCGGGCAATCTCGATTCAACCAGAAAAATTAGCGCCATAAAAATGTTAATCTTGTGTTATATTTGCTTGCCTAGTCAGTTTTAACTGTACATAATATGGTTAATTGCAGAAGAGAATTTGATGAAACATCGCCCACTTAAAAATAAACAGACTAAAAAACAAACTAATGCTCGGTTTCACAAACGATGATCAAGGTTAACCAGTGATTAAAAATATTAGAATGGGAAACAAATGAACGTACCTATAATCAAAGGTGGCTAACATTCTAATATTTTGAATCACTGATTAACCTTAATCATCGTTTTGGAAACCGGGCATAACATTCATAAACTTAACCACCTCAATATTTAAATGAGTTATATGTTCTTTATTGAAAAAATAGATTTTACAAAGGGATTTAAACTAATCCTACACAAAAACAAACTAAACTTCAATATACTGATACATAAATAATATAATGGAATTACAGATTAAGAACGTTTTTTTGTTGTGGCAGTGCGTTTCGGGTTATCTTTAGGGGAATTATCACTGTAATTAATTTCTTTACGAACTCTCAAAGGCCTAGGTTCTGCAACACTAACAGGTTTTACTGCCTTTTTCTTTTTTTCGTCTAATTTTTTCTTAATATTCTTCATCTCGTCTGTATATCCAACCATATTATCTTCTGCTTCCTGACCATTCTCAACGTTTACTTCATTATCTTCCTCTACATCCTTTTCTCTATTCTCCGCAACAGGTTTAGCAGTTTTTGTAGCTTTTGTCTTCTTAGCCACAACTTTAGTCTTCTTTTTAGGTGTCGGACTCTTGGCAGCGATTTTTCGTTTTGCAGGTGAACTTTTCGATGTCTTAAAACCGAACGGAGCCTTCATAGAACCTCCTGCCGCTTCAACTCCCTTCACAAGAATTTTACGTAACTTTCCATAATCAGGGTCAATCCCAAACTTTAGGGTAGAAACATATTTCATGTACTCAGATATAGCGCCTACAAATTAATAATAATTATTCGGCATGTTATCATTGATAATTACCGGGAGGCTTTCCATCTGAAAAACATTTCTTGAAGAAGGTCGTAAGATTTTTCATGTTATCTATTTTGCTCTGTTGTACAATCTTGGGATCAGATAAATCAACTTCCCACGGAAGGGCGCAGCCCAACCATTGAACTAAGTTGTATCCCAAACATTCCAAATCTCCTCTTCTTGATTCAACTTAAAAGGTTAAACCTCACAATGTTAGTCTAAGTCATATTAGTGCAAACAAAAATGGTGCGTTGATTAAGATCGAAGAGTATAATTATTTCTGTTCAAAGTAATGGTAGTGGAGAAAAAACCTACTAATAATGTAGCAAGTTTAATTGAAACGTTGCGAGAAGTAGAAGGAAGCATAGGGACTTTTCACATTTGGTAGTTTATACAGTCCGTTTCAAATTAAGTTGGTACTATAGCTATACTATTGACAACTTACTTAGTTGTTAGAAAGACGGTTAAATGATCAAAGTTGTGTGTATTTTGCTACTGAATCCACATCTCATTTTTCAGATAACAAAAATGTGACTTTTTTATATGGACCATATTTATATGGTTCGAATAAAAAGCATTAAAAATTTTTTTAGTAATTTAAATATATGTTTTTAGAAGTAAAATAAATATTAAGCATTAAAATCGTCCAATATTTTAAAAAAATCGCCAAAGCAAACAATTGGTATATCTTATCTATTTTGGCCAATGTCTTGAGTTCTAAAAAAGTTACAGATCTGGGATTTCTATTTTATTGTGTAAAAAAATAATGTCATCTCATTTGATTTTTTCAAGAAAAATTATAGCATATATTTAGTTAAATTTCAGACCGCCTTCTAGTGACTACCGTAAAATTACCAGGTATAAAAGCCAATAGCTGTTGGTAGGCCAAATAAATGTCTCTTCGAGGGTCTCTTAAACAAGGACCAGTTTGCTAAAATCGGTTACTTCACCCAAACTTCAGAAATCAATATTTATTTAAAAAACATTTGATTTCCTCCCACCACATTATTTCATAAAATGGCCAAAAAACGAAAACAAAAATAAAGAGTATTATAATCAAAATTAAAACTTTGCTATTTTGATACCACTTTATTAGATAAAATCTGGAGAAAATTAAAATTTTATATTTGATCATGACTGTTGCGCCCTCTAGTGGCCATTTTACACACTCGAAAATAATTTCCAGCAAATTTATCTTGGCCATTTTTCTTTCATAATTTGTTACCCAAAAGCTCTATGTCTACTTGCTTCTGAGGCCATTCTTATTTGTCCACCTGGTACAGTACAATATACATTGTAGTGGACCAAACTACCCACAAAAAAGTCCCTGAGAGTATATGTCTACCTTCAACTGTTTAACGGATTAAAACATGCATGTGTGAAAAGTCTTCTACAATTTGGATTCACTTGTCTTATACTAAACATAGGAAGTTGTGTTATCCCTGCAAATTCTTAAATGTCAGGGTCAGTTGCAGATATTTCATTCTGGTTTAATCCGGATCCCGGTGTTAAGAAATGTGATTGGTTAAATCTTAAGTCTGAAGTTAAATCTAAGTCTAAACACCCACTATGCTCTCATAGGTACTCGGATAAAAAATAATCCCGGGTTAACAGCTAATTATTTGGCATATGACAAATAAATTTTTCTTAAATCCTGCAAGATGGCGCACCCCTAAATGGGGGCAAAAAAAACCTGATCTTAACGAAATTTGTTGGGGATTTTTGAACATGCACTTTCCATTGTGTTTATAACCTGCGAATGTTTTCTTATTGTAGTACTACTTACTTCCTAAATGACCATCCCGACTGACATATTCTATGGTTCCATTGTGTGCTTTCTTAGGATCTGGTTTCTCGCTTGCACTATAATGGGAACATAAACCAAAGTCGACTAAATAAACTTGTGAATCCGATTCGGCATCAGGTCCTAATAAAATGTTTGGCCCCTTAATGTCTGCATGAATATAACCTTGACTGTGAATGTATTCAAGAACATCAAGCTGTAAGTAAATGTATAGCTAAAAAGATTTCGGAATTGCCTTACAATCTGAACACCAAGTTTGAAAACAATATCGGGCGAAAAGCGTCGATCATTTTCTAAGAATATCTTCCAAATATCGGATCCAAACTTCTCCATAACAACGAACCTGTATTTTTCACCATTGTGCTCGTGGCTACCTGACGCAATGTATTTGGGCATTCCTAAGGAGGCTAATTTTTTCTTTACTTTAAATTCTTGAACTACAATGGGAGTTGATTCATGAAAAAGTAACAGTGTTATAAAAAATACTTACTTTGATCTTCTTTTCCGTTTCTCATATAAAAATGCATTTCAACGAATAATGGTCCATTTTTATGTGGTTCCTACAGATATCAGTATTACGATTAAATAAGCGGTTAGCATACACACATAGAACTTACGATCTTAACAACGTATGGAAAGCTGCTACCAGATGACGATGCATCCTTTGCCGAATAGATTTCCCCAAATCCGCCTTTTCCAATGGAAGGGCCCAACTTCCATTTATTCCTGTTTACATCTTCTACTACTAAGTTCAATGGTAAAGGGGCTGGGAGTTTATAACCGTTTTTAGCTTTAGGAGGCATTATTTTAGCCTTAGAGAACAGTCTTATAATCAATACTTTTCGAATTGGAATTAAACTAATTAAACAAACAATTCAGAAGAAGTTGAAGCACACATGCCACACATCAAACCACACTTCTGCAACGATTTTTTAACGCGGGAATCGGAACTTTTGATTAAAAAAAAGGCACACAACTGTAAAACAATAAAAGTCCTAGATAAATAATATCCCTAGATTTTCCATGGTTAAGGTGTGTCTAAAGGTGCGTACAGACCGGTCTAACGAAATCGGTAGTTCCTAGCGAATGTTTGATTGGCGTCGAAGAAAAATTCAATGAAGAAACGTACATCATTCGCTGTCTTGAGCAAACGTTAGATGGACGTGAATCCGTATTTTTCATCACACCTTCAATTCAACGTTCCAATTTCAAACGGCGACGCAGTGTGCGAATGGATGACTATCATTATCGTGGGTGCTGCATTTATAGTTTTCAATGAAGTTGAAGAAGAAATAAGAAAGATACGAACAGAAGATATGAAAAATTATAAACACACATGTAGTGCGACGGTCGCCAAAAACACATTAGCATACGTTGTTCCATGGACCGTACTACCGTACATTAGTTTCAGAGAAGTATTTTATCTGTAATTTAGTGAACACTGCTTACTACGACTGCGCTGCTTAGTCGCCTTGCTGTTCGCAGTGAGCATTGGTTTATATGGAAGCCTTCATACTGAGCGACCGCGCCAGCGGCGACCGATACGATAGCAGCGTCGAAACCTTTCACACTAGGCGGTTAAGTAGCGCTGTATGGAGGCACGTCACGACTACTGCAATGTCCACTAAACATTGAAACTAACGCAATGTTGAAAAAAAGGTTTTATTTGTCACAGAAAAAAGAAGAGTAAAAAGCAGGAGGTCTTCGTCGAAATCCATCTGGTACCGATGTGACTGGTCACAGTGCTTGCTCCAACCGTGAGACAAGACCACTGAACATGCCGATTAAAGCGCCGATTCCGTCGCGTTGCTGCTTATTACTGCCCCTCCCCCCCCCCCCCCCCCCCCAAACCTCAAAGCAGCGCTGCTAAGTCACCTAGTGTGAAGGGGCACAGCACAAAGAAAGGCAAAAACAAAAGCGTACGTTTTCATAAATATCTAGTGAGAAATGTGAGAGACTGTGAATTTAACTCGTAGCGTTCACCAGCAAGAAGCGTTTCATGAGCGGTATCTAAAGGCGGGGATACTCTAGCAAGGTTATTCGTCGATGACAATCGGGCTCAGCGAGGTATAGTAAAATACGTTTTAACATGTTTATTTTAATAACCTCTTATACGCACCCCTTAAAGTGATCGTGGGGAGTTTGTGAAAAGAAGAGCGTAGATGTTAGTGTTTTTTTTTTTAGGTACATACCATATATATATAAGAGAAGTATATATGGTACATACCACCGTGAGCCGGACGTATATACGTTGGTATTTACACTCGATAGTGATATCAGACAGCAACTCGCGCGAAAAATCTTGCTAGAGTATTCCCGCCTTTAGGAAACGCTTCGTCTGGTGAACGCGCCCAATTGTCACCATTCTAAACACAACCTCAAACTGTTAATAATTACGATTCCAAGGCCTTCTAGACTTCTTTTTTTCGACTACTTATACAGGGTGTTTGGTAAACATGCGGCAAAAATGAAAGAGGTTATTCCTTGGACTATTCTAATGATATTTTATCCTTTGATGATTTTTGAAAAAACGCATTCGAATGATGAGCCATGATAGAGGATTTCACAAACAACCGTTTAAGTAATAAGGGCAGAAATTACACATGTATCTTCGCAACGAAGCGTTTTTTCAAAAATCATCAAAGGATAAAATAACATTAGAATAGTCCAAGGAATAACCTCTTTCATTTTTGCCGCATGTTTACCAAACACCCTGTATATGTTATAAGATACAAAATATAGGTGCCATACATATCTGTATCTAAATACAATTATTCTAATGTATCTGTATCTTTCTAGATACTCAAATAACAGTATCTGTAACAACATATGGTGACAACCGGGTGTCTCGATTTGATTGGTGGTTGGTTCCGATCGCCATATTGGAGCTAAATTGGTATTGGAGCACGTTTGTTGGTGTTTTTACGAAAGTAAGAAGAATAAATAGGTGCGGTTTAACGTGAAATCTATTGTGGACATTCGGTTATTAGGTTGAAAGTGAATAAAAATGTAGGTATTTTCTTTAATTACGAAAGGTTACTGTTTACCAAATTGACATGTGTATTGTTTTTAGATATTATGGGGGGGTGTTCCGCTGTAGGATGTAGCAATTCTGCAAAGAAAGGATTTTTAATGAAACGGCTACCAAAGAACCCCATAAGAAGACAGCAATGGATCCTCAAAATCAAAAGAGACAAAAACTGGCAACCAAATGATGACACACGCTTGTGCGAGGCAAGTTTATTTTATCACATACCTATAACTATTTATCATACACTTTACCCATACACGTTACATATAATGTAATGGCCACACTTTTACTGAATATGATTTCGGTAGGTTCACTTTGCTCCCGAGATGTGGGAAAAGACCCGAGTAGATGGAAAGCGGGTACTAAGATCTGATGCTGTTCCGACAATTTTTCCTTCCTCCAAATCAACTTTAAAAAGGAAAGCACCTACACAAGGAAGTCCATTAAAGTTGCAGTCAGTACAAGAATCAAGTAAGTCATATCCGAGGTCATGCCCAATTGCATAAAAATAATTACACAACATCAAAGTTAGGTACATAAATAGCTATATTACAAATTGGGTAGTAGTATAGTACTTTTAAAGTACGTCTTTTGTGTCTTAGATCAAACCGTGGATTATGGAATCATTGATCCAGAACCCTCAACCTCAGCGGCTTATTCATCAGACGTTATTACTGTCATATTAGATGACAATATTGGGGAATCACCTCCGTCAAACTTAACCGCTTCAACTTCAGCAATTCTTGCTCATAAAGATTGCAAAGCTAAATTTTTGCGATATGAAAAAATGTATACCAGAGAAAGAGAGAAGTCCAGTAGACGGTACAAAACAAAGACTCCAAAACTTAAAATTTGATAGTGGCATTTTGATTAAACTTTTTAAAAACCACAGTTGAATCATTTGGTGAATTCGAAAAAGATTGTGTCTTAGTGTAGTTGGACAAAATGGCCATCACTGCACGCAACGCACATGATTTACGATGTTAGTTTCAATGTTGGATAGAGTTACTATACATCGGAAGCAGGTCGGCTTACTATTTTATTGGCAATTCTGTGAATGGTGCAGTTTTAAAAGAAATTATAAATGAAATTTTTAAAAAGTAGAATTAAAATTGACCCTTCTATGTATAACGTCGGCTTCTGATCAAGCATTATGGAAAGCATGGGGAGTTATGGCAGGCAGGTACCTATTCTAAACCCAGGTGCAAAATTCCTCATTGAATAATTAACAGTGAATTGGTGTTTCCAGACGAAATTGAATATTTCTGATGTAATATAATAGGAATATTCAAAAAGGTATATTTGAATATGTATTAAAATATTCCTAGAATAAATTTCAAAAATATTCTCCATTTATTCTGAACATTCATAGAACATGATGCATATAGCCACTTGGGATATTCTGAGAATTAACTTACACAATATTCTCAGTTTATTCTGAATATTCTTTGTATATGAGGTATACATGTATTATTTCAGATATTCTGAACATAAACTTGAAAGAAAGGTATTCGTTTCTTCTCAATATTCTTAGAACATGCTCTACACTTGACCCATCACTACTCTACATATACAATTTGCAAGCATGAATATTCGCAGGACATTCATAAGGTTATTAAGCGGCAGAACAAAGATCTCGTTTATTAACATAGATAGTCAATTAAGTATGTTATTTTTCGTCATATTTAGGTAGAGAGGGTGTAAATTTTGTTTAGGAATAACTTCAGGATCATTTTTGTCCATTTAACCAACTCTCTATTAATAAAGCGAAATCTCTGTACTCGACATGAATTTGATACAACCTGTATATCCATACAACATTCTTGGATATTTGGAATATTCACATACCTTCCAGCATGTTGAAAGAATATCCAATGTTACATGGGCATTTATGTTTGTCGACACACCATACCTTTTAACAAACAAATTTATATCACCTGCCGATAAAACAAAAATATATAGATTGCCCGCCAACGAAATAAGAGCTAATCATATTTTCGGAAATTGGGGCTCGCCAAGAACAACATAAATTTAAAGTGGCACCAAGGTTGTGCTGATTTGCTGCCATCTCATTTTCATAAGATGAAGGTACAAGGTGGTCCAAAAGGATTAAATAAAAAAAACGCCAAGACAGTCCCATATTACATTTATTTTAAAATTTACGCACATTCATGGAAATTTACGTTTTCAAGATTACATTGTCTAAATGTGCGCCATTGATGTCCTGGCCTTCCTGAAGGCATAACTCATGAAATTTTACAAAATGCGGTGGCAGGTCTTTGTAGTTATGGCTTCCATTTCTTCACAGTATTGTTCTTTAGGTTCTCCAGAGTGGCCGGGTGGTTACGGTACACTAGTCCCATAAAAAAAATGGCGGGGAGTCAAATTAATTTTTCTGGGAAAATTAGAAGTTTGACAGGTGGGTCCTTCCTGCTGCAACCAAGTGTTCGGATTATATCCTTCAAATTCTTGGAGAACAGGAGAAAAACAATTTTCAATCATGTTGACATAACGCTGCGAATTTACCGTTACTGCGCGGTTACTTGGCGGTCTTCAGAAAAACCAGGCCGATTTTCGAATGCCGACATTGCAGCCCAAACTGTCACTTTCGGGTTATGCAAAGGCCTTTGATGTTTCCTTTTAGGGATTTCTCCACTCCAAGGCTTGGACATTTCTGAATATCATGCAAATTGAAATGTTGAAATCTCAAGGCCACAATAGTGAAAGAATTGTTATTGCGGTAATACTGTATATATGCCTTGGACATGGTTGAAGCCACACTGGATCTTCATAACTAGCATTAAGACCCAATGGTTAAATCATGAAGTACTGTATTCATAGCTTCGAGGTTGAACTTGACTCTAGTTTGTTTAATGCAGTGAGCAATTTCGTAGTAGGAATTTGAACGATTTCATTATGTCACAGAGGGGAATGATTAAGAACTTGATTAGTCCACTTTTATTGGTTACCATAAAAACATCAGGAGTTGAAACTGTTCCACCCTCACCACCATCGCAGTTCTGAGCTGTAGCCAAGCCCAAAAACTGTACACAAGTGTTGGAATTTTTGTTGCAAGCTGTTAAAATAACAAAATCTGCATTAATAAAACGTTGATTGTTGCTGTAATTCTTATAATTGTTAAATTTTTCTATAGGTTATCGATTTCGGCACTAGGCCATCGTCAGACCTTGCTGAAATTACGTTTGTGAAGTGGTGGACATTATAAAGTTAGAGGCTTACCGTCATTAAATACATATAACACCGATACATTCTGGGATACATTGGTAAAATGGTTAAAAAATTTGAATTAAAAAATTGTCGAAAACTGGAGCTGAAAAAAGTATAATTCCAATAATGGAGCAATTCATCCTCTTTTTTCAGCTCCAGTTTTCGACGACAACAATTTTTTAATTCAAATTTTTTAACCATTTTACCAATGTATCAGTGTCGATAACCTATAGAAAAATGTAACAATTATAAGGATTACAGCAACAATCGACGTTTTATTAATGCATCCTTATAATTCCAATAATGGAGCAATTCATCGATAATAACAAAATCTGCACTTCATACCGACACCAAACACAAAGTACTCGGTAGTGAAAGACACAGCCGTGAAAAATATGAAATAGAAAGCACTCAGCAGTGATGAACAGGGTGCCAATTTATAAAGCTGGGATGGTTTATTTCGATCGAACTTGAATAGGAAAATAACTTTGACCTATAGAGTGGCATACAATCTTTTCTACATCTTCGCAAGGTATTAATGTAATGTATTGTGGTATGAGTGAGAAGTTTAGTGGCCAACACTTGATGCATATGAATAAAGAGCGCTTGTCAGAATTTTTTCTACTTCTCGATAGTGTCAGCTGCTCGTAATCTCCGTTTAAGGGAGGTAACAGCTAGTATTTTTGTTGGTTTCGTTATTGCATGAAAAATGAGATAGATTGAAACAGCATCAAATCTTACCAGAAACTAGGCAACAGCAGTGTAGAAACCATTCATTTAAACAGCCTTCGGCAATGCTATAGGCATTGCACAGATTAAAGAGTTGTACAACAAGTTTATAAACGCCCTTACACCAATGGAGAGCGATGCATGATTACAATTGGCTATAAACATGCCAAAATGACAAGGGCATTGTCCAAGTGAACTCTGAGGTAATGTGGGATGTTGTGCGACTATCCTAGAAATTGGAGAACAAGTGGACAACAGCATTTTTCCACCATACAACACTTCTAGTTGTTCCCCGGACTCCACTGGGACAATCCTGTGGAGTCGCTTTACTACTTTGAGGATGCTCAGGTTACCAACACTCCAGGTGTACCAGTTTTTTTCCTAGTCAAAGTTCAAATACTTTTCTGACAGACCTTGTAGACAGAACTTCCCAATAAGACCCTGATTAAAGCTTATGTAGCAGATATTGAGCGATTTTGATATTGTATCTCCAGGACAAATATCAACAACTTAAGTAAACTGCAGTGGAGAAAATGAAAATTCTTAAAAATTCTGATGACGCAAAATCACATTCTGCATTTGATAAACCGAGATGAATACATCATGCAGTGCTGAAGGAATTATATTATGGCTTCGCTTCCTTTGTTGATAACGAAAACACCTAGGGTAAGGTTACATAAAGAGCTTGTATTGTCAAAAATATTTTCCATTTTAAACAACTTCCAATTGATTGGAATTTGATTAGTTTAAAAGGAATGTCCTAAACCTTACCATATGGCTAAACCATCAGTCCTCAGTCAGTCATTCACGAAAGTGATACTGCCATAACGTTCAGGCGGGCCCGCATAACCGCCATAAAGATGTCATTTTTTGTTAATAATTTTGGGCGATGTGCTACAGTATGGCATTTGGATTTTCCGAAAATTCATGCTCCAATTTGATCCATGATATACATGGTGTTTTTTTAAAGATGGGCCATAGGACAATGTAAAGGCGTCGAGTTATTTCAAATGGGCCATAGGGAAATTTACATTGCATCAATTGTTTCAGTCATAGCTTCCTAGCGAATCATCTGCCACAGTACTGTAGAAATTGTTTCTAAATCAACAAATTTATTCAAATGAGATATAAACATATAAAATTACAATCGGTGCTCGAATTGTTTTCTACCAAACAATACCCGATACTCGGCACTGAATAGCTCGCATACCACTCAGCTATACTGTGCCCACTCTTGTACAAATTGTACTACATGAACACCTTTTCGAGCGGCGGAATACAAGTTGCTGCTTCGTTGATGCAGTTTGAAGGATCAGATTGAGAACCGTCAGTGAAATAACTAAGCGCAAGGCCAAGATTTGAGAACAATTGGCGCAATGTAAATTTCCCTATGGCCCATTTTAAATAACTCAACGCCTTTACATTGTCGTATGGCCCATCTTAAAAAAAACACCCTGTATATGCCATACTCGTCATGAAGGCCAAAAATAGCGCCATACTCGAAAATCTGTTATACATTACATATTCATGGTTAAAAATGAACAAGGAAATCATGAAAATCAAATAAGCACTTGTTAAAAAATTTTTTTTAGCTTTTATCCAATCACTCAAAAAAAACAATCGACACGTTCAAATTAGTATGGCGGGCTATAAGACCCACCGGAAAAGTATGGCATTTAGTTTCCGCCATTTGTTTAGTCACCGACTAGCAGAAAATCCAAAGAATATTGTGTAGCAAATTGTCCAAAATCATTAAATTTTCCGACATGTCCCCACTCCCAGGGAGTTAGCACCATTTTCGATTTGAGGAGTACTTAATTTAACCTTTGAATGGTCGCCATACTTGTAGCAAATCACACCAGAAAAAGTGTCACCATCTCCCGGTCTAAGTCATGATGTTACTGTAAATGTAAATGGCAGTAGGAGTTCATACACTCATTATTTATAGACAATTTATGAACAGATACTTAACAAAGACGCAAAAAGTTACACATTCATCTTGTATTTTGGTGCAATTACAACTGCATGAGATGGATTTTTTTCAAGTTAATGTAGTACAAAGTCCCCACTGCTCCTTTAAAAAGCTAATTTCTTCATTAGAAGATACATATGTTGGTCAACTTCGAATCCGTGTAGATTGTTGGCATCACCTTGCAATCGCATCAATAGTCCGCCGAAAGAAACATACGCAGCCCTGAAAAAATGAAAGATGCACATATTAGTTTAGTAAGAATAGGTAACATTAAAATTAGAAGTCAATATTTATGCTATGCACCAAGGACTTTTGTAAAAACAAGTTCACTGAAACTACACAAACACACAGCCTTTAAATCTATGACTAATGCAATTCTAATTTGTGTTTGTTTAACCTTGAACACTGCCATTAACCAGAAACAATAAAAAATGCGGGAGAATAAATTATTCTAGGAATTACTGGCTAAAAATATTACAATTCTCTGAATCCTAGTAATGAAGATTGATGTGATCGCGACAGTCACAAGGGTAGTATGGTTAGAGGCCGTGAGTCAATTTCCACAACCAGCTAACCACACTGCCATTGTGCACATCGCCAGATTACCCATGTCATTGTTGCACTTATAGTTATACACCATTATCAGTACAGCCACACATCACGTTACATAATTCTACTTACATCTAACCTATAGTATCTAATTTAAATTTTTTATGCTACTTTATTCCATATTTTTAAACTAATGATTTGTGTTCAAAAGGTTAGTCCTTCTTTAAAAAACTCATGTCACTGGTTGCTTTTCGAATTTTGCGATTGGTTAGTTTGAACGATCTCGAACGATATCAGACGAACCGCGTTGATTTTACAAGTTCAAGTTCAATTTAACAAACAAGTGCAGTGCAGTCGCCAGTCAGTGGTTTATTTACGAGTGCAGTGCTGCACAATACTGCGCACAACCTTAAACCTTCTGTTTTTGAATGTCAATCATCGTTCATTCAGCTTAGATCACACCTTGAATATCATGTTAATTGTCCCATAACAAATTCGGGATCTGCCACATTATGATATTACAGGAATGGGCTACGCAGTTTCAAAGAAACGTGCATCTTTCACCTGCCTATGATATGATTAAGATCAAGGTCAAGTTCGTAGAACCTAGAACACTGTTTTCATTCATTCGCACATTTCGTCGAAACGACAACGCACTTTGCTTTTAGACGAACTACATTTTACATCATCTTTCGTTAAGGTTGGTTGAGCAAAAACCTATTTATTCACAAATTTCGTGAGGCGGCATGACATTTTGATTTCATGGGAGGGAAATTTACAGCTTAGCCTCGAGCTTAGCTTTCTTCTGTTAAGATCGAGCTCAAGTTGGTAGAGCGAAATCCGAATTTCTTCACAATTTTTGTGGGGTATAACACTTTAATTTCATGGGAGGGAACTAAATTTTATGGCATTTTTTAAATTAAATTGGAGGTTAAGTGGTAGAGCAAAATCTTCATTCATTCACAAATTTCGTCGGAAAAAACGGCTGGACACTTTCACTTCATGGGAAGGAACTAAATTTTACACCAACTTTCTTTAATTAAACTCGAGATTAAGTTGGTAGAGCAAAATCCTTATTTATGATTAAGTTGGTAGAGCAAAATCCTCTTTTCTTCACGGGAAAATTGGCATTACATTTTGATTTCATGGGAGAGCACTAAATTTTATGCCATTTTTCTTTGAATATTGGAGGTTATGTAAGTGGGAGAGCAAAATTTTCATTTATTCACAAATTTCGTTCGAAAAAGAACAGGACACTTTCATTTCATTGGAAGGAACTAAATTTTTTGTATTTCTCTTTGATTAAATTGTATGCTCGATTGTATGTGTTGTTAATAAGTGGTAGAGAAAAACTTCATTTATTCATCCTCAATTATTCATAAATTGCGTGGGAAAATCGACAAAACATTTTGATTTCACGGAAGGGAACTAAATTTTATCGCATTTTTCTTTGATTAAATTGGAGGTTAAGTGCTAGAGCAAAATCTTCATTTATTCATCCTCATTTATTTATAAATTTCGTGGGAAAAACGCCAGAACATTTTGATTTCATGGGAAGGAACCAAATTTTATGCCACTTCACTTTGATTAAATTCGAGGTTCAGTGGTAGAGCAAAATCTTCATTTTTCACAAATTTCGTCGGAAAAACGGCAGCACACTTTTACGTCATGGGAAGGAACTAAATTTTACAACAACTTTCTTTTATTAAGGTTGAGATTAAGTTGGTAGATCAAAATCCTCATTTACGATTAAGTTGGTAGAGCGAAATCCTCATTTTTTCACAAAATTTGTGGGAAAATCGGCAGTACATTTTGATTTCATTGGAGGGAACTAAATTTTATGCCAGTTTTCTTTGAGTAAATTGGAGGTTAAGTGGTAGAGCAAAATTTTCATTTGTTCACAAATTTTGTCAAAGAAATGACCGAACACTTTCATTTCATGGGAAGGAACTAAATTGTTTGTTATTTTTCTTTGATTAAATTGGAGGTTCAGTGGTAGAGCAAAATCATCATTTATTCATCCTCATTTATTCACAAATTTCGTGGAAAAATTGGCAAGGCACTTTGATTTCATGGGAGGGAACTAAATTTTATGGCATTTTTCTTTGTTGAAATTGGAGGATGTTCACAAATTTCGTGGGAAAAACGACGGAACATTTTGATTTGATGGGGAGAACTAAAGGAACTAAATTTTATGCCATATCACTGATTAAATTTGAGGTTAAGTGGTAGAGCAAAATCATCATTCATTCACAAATTTCGTCGTAAAAAAACGGCAGGGCGTTTTGACTTCATGGGAAGAAGATAAATTTTATGCCACTTCACTTTGATTAAATTCGAGGTTAAGTGGTAGAGCAAAATCTTCATTTTTTCACAAATTTCGTCGGAAAAACGGCAGGACACTTTTACGTCATGGGAAGGAACTAAATTGTTGGTTATTTCTCTTTGATTAAATTGGAGATTAAGTGGTAGAGCAAAATCTTCATTTATTCATCCTCATTTATTCACAAATAATAATAATAATAATAACTGCAATATCTCCACCAAAAACCCAAGCAACCACACAAATACAACTTCAAGAACCAAGAAACACCATAAATACAAGTAACGCAACATGTACTACAAAGACAGGTCCACCCAATAAAGTTACACGCGCTAGCACAGTTAAAAAACACATAACTCCTTCTTCACAGAAACACACCACGTTATCACAACCCACTCGTACTCAATCCAAATGCAAAAACCTAAACAGCACTACTAGCTCACAATAGTATATTAAGATACAAGTGTATAATCAAGTCTTTAAAGCACGCGCAACGAGTTTAAGGGCACGACGCAAAGCGGAGTGCCTTTAACGTTGCAAGTGCTTTAAAGACCAATTATACACGTGTATCTTATGGTATTTTTTATTATACCTGCTGTATAATTTAAAAATAGGAAATACAATGAAGTCATATTGACGTTATACTCGAATACATGTCTAATTAAGTGGGCTGGGTGTTCGTAATTTCACGATTGCCATGGAAATGTCACTTGACGTTTGCTTATAAAAATCATAGTCTTTTGAATTAAACGATTTCCGTTGAAAAAGATAATACACCGCCCATTAAATCGATTGTTGTAAAATCTAAACAAACATTGGTTGGTGTAAAATCCAACTCCAGTAAAGCCTATTATAAAGAATATGAAAAGTTGTTTCCATGGATGAATAGGAATTTACTTACGAATACAGTCTTAAATGCATCCATAATGCTAGCATATATGAAGGAAATGTCAAAGGTATTTACATCTTCTATATTTTGGTGCATTCATTCAAAACTTTAAAGCAATGCTGCGATTAAAAAGTGGAACAGATTTGAAAGCATACCCTAAATTACGCGCGTTTGTGAAAGCTTCAACCAAAGGATAGGTACAAAAGCCAAAGAAATGTTCTGCATTTACAGAAAGCGACCTAAGAGGATTTTTTATTTCATCCAGATGACAGTTTCAAAAGTCACTTGAAGTATCGTTACTTAGCAACTTTAAAGCACGTGTGTTTTAAAGGCCCTTTTTCGCACGCATTTGAGTGTTTAAAACGGAGATTGTGATTCAGGTATAATAAAAAATACTATAATATCTCCATCAATAACCCAAGCAACAACACAAATACAACTTCAAGAACAAAGAAACACCATAAAGACAAGTAACGCAACATGCACTACAGACAGGTTCACCCAATAAAGTTACACGCCCGAGCACAGTTAAAAAACACAATAGGTACTCCTTCTCAGAAACAAACCACGTTATCACAACCCGCTCGTATTCAACCAAAACGCAAAGCCAAAAAAACACTTACACAGTAAACTCTATTTAATAAAATTACAGGAATTATTATAATGATTTTGTTTATTTTGTTTTGTTTTCCTCTTTCCTGATAGCGTTGGCTATTGTGCCCATCAATAGCTATGTTGGTAAGTATGAATTACATACTATCCCTAGATTTCCAATGTGCGTGTGTGAATTTCTATTGTAATTTTTATTGTATATATTTTTTAGAACCCTACATAACTTCACCAGACACAGACACAGACACTAATCGTTACTTGATTTTAATCCGTGCGATTAGTTAACTAAGCTAGACCTGAGTTCTCACAAGAAACACCGACCATAATAATAATGCCTTTATTGGCCTACACCATTTTTTGAGATATCCTTCTACGTGACGATCTACTCAAAGGGCGGAGTTCAGGTTGTAATAAAAATGTTATTACTTCCTGCTCTTCCAATCAACCCATTGAGAAAATTGAGAAAATCGGCAAGGCACTTTGATTACATGGGAGGGAACTAAATTTTATGGCATTTTTCTTTGATTAAATTGGAGGTTAAGTGGAAGAGCAAAATTTTCATTTGTTCACAAATTTCGTGGTAAAAACGACATAACATTTTGATTTCATGGAGAGGAACTAAAGGAACTAAATTTTATACCATATCACTTTGATTAAATTTGAGGTTACGTGGTAGAGCAAAATCTTCATTCATTCATTAATTTCGTCGGAAAAAATGGACAGGGCGTTTTGACTTCATGGGAAGAAACTAAATTTTATGCCACTTCACTTTGATTAAATTCGAGGTTAAGTGGTAGAGCAAAATCTTCATTCATTAATAAATTTCGTCGGAAAAACTGCAGGACACTTTGATTGACATATCTACAAACTTTAATTCACAAGCCTTTTTGTATAGCGTCTTTTGAAGTAAATTTTGTCTATTTTTTGTAGAAAGAAGTTTAAAATATTAAACCGGTAATAGCCTACATTACATTCTCATGAGCTAATCCAGCCCATAATCTGCTGTCCATGCAAATTTGTATAGACACCTACCAGATTACTTTTATTTTGTTTAGATTTTATGAAAAGAAACATTTATAATACATCTTGAGGGGTTTTAAGAGCAATTTACGAAATTAATTTATATTTAGCTTCTCTACGTTAAATCAACAAATTTGTTTATAATGCGTCTGAGCAATTATTGATGCATGAATGTTCGTGCAGTGTACCTAAATACCTACTACTTTCACGCAACCGTTGAAGCATTTAGTGCCACAAGCAATTTTTACTTTACATGAGTACTGTGCATATAATTCCATGTTGATACAACCTTCACCGTCGAATATTGTGAGTGCTAAAATGTATAACCAGTTATCTATGTAATTAGAAGACAACTTGGCAAGACGAGCAGGCGTAGCCTGCGGAGTCGCGCTAGTAATGTACTATTATATTTGCATTAATAATCTCAACAGAAAAATGTCAATTGATAAAAATTCATTTGCTTTTTTCTCTCTCAGGAATCTGGTCTTGCCCATGTTAAACCAGCCCTGCAATATCCCTTCATAACGAATTTTCGCTGACTGCAGGAAAGGATACTTTTACTGCCCCTACATAAAGTTATACGTTAATGAAACCTAATATTATGCAATTAGGGCCGAGATATCCAACTCCTTATAAACTACCTATTAACTATTAGGAGAATAGTGTATTTATTAGCTAATAAATAATAACATGGAGTTCCATTGTTATTTATCTGCCTAACAAATATTAGGTACCTAATTTCTCATCTTACCCAAAATGGAAAAGTTGGCAATTCTGATTTTAAGATGTTATCATTAAAAAAAGATGGTCATATAGAAATGCATGCATGAGTTGGAGTGAAATAGTGGTTTATTGACATTTGATGGACAACTTAACCTATATGCAATTCAAATTACTGGTGAATGAGAAGCTTTGATTAATTTAATAAATTACGATGTAAGTAATTGTGACTGTTATGCAATAAATTATTACCTATTTTGTATATTTTAGTTATTTCTAAATGGCGACAAAAAAACAGCGGACCATCAATTTTAGTGAGAAGGAGGTGCGTCTTTTAACGGACATTTGTTTGAAGTATAGCAGTATACTGGAGAATAAAAAAACGGACGCTGTGACATGGAAAGAGAAAAACACTACTTGGGAGCAAATAACGGCGGAATTTAATTCTCAAAATGAAAGTTCTAATCATCGAGACACGAAAAATTTAAGGTTAAAGTATGACTGCCTTAAGAGGGAAATAAAAGCAAAAAAGGCCAAAAACAAACTTGATAATTTATAAAACCGGCGGTGGAAAGCCAGAAGGTACTCCTTACACAGATTACGAGGAAAAAATATTAGACGTGATCACATTAAGTGTAGAAGGGCTACCGTGCCGACATGACAGCGATAATGCATTAATTATAGATAATGGCATAGATATGGTAGAAACGTTACCTTTTACAGCAATAAGTAATTTGGAAAACATACCTTTCGACATACCACTGTCAGAAATTGATATTGCCGCCCCTGTTGCACGTGAGCTGGAAACGCCTATTATACCCAGCACGTCAAAGAAGTGGACTTCTGGGAAGAAGAAACGTCTACAGCCACAAGAGAGGCAGTATTTCAATAAAAAATACGAGCAAATTACCAATAATAGAACAACACTAATTACATTGCAAACCGAAAATGCAGAATTGGAAAAGCAGTTATTATTAAGTAAAATCAAATTTGCGGAAGAAGAGCATATGCTAAAAATGAAGCTGTTAAAATTAAACATTCGTAAGGCAGAAATAAATTTATTGCAAGCGGAAAAGGGCACATTAGAATAACAACACACAAAAATCACAAGTGATCATTAAGAACAAGTATTCCATTCAGTACCTTCTTATATTTATAAAAATGTCTGATAATCTTACAATAAACCTTGAAAATAATCTATATACGGTTGACGAGCATTATTTTCTACGTTTACTGGTGCAATAACATTATTGTCCTGGTCAATTTCTATGTCATCTAATTCCATAGCTTCATTTTGGTCTCTAGCAATGTTGGGAATTATTGCCGTAGCTACAATAATGTCTTGACACATAGGTAATTTGTTCCGCAGTCCCAGTGACAAAATAGGAAATTTCCGTTTCCATATACCAAATGTTCTTTCAATTATTGTCCTTGTTCCGATTTGGCATTCATTAAAATAGTGCTCTGCGGGATTTGTTGGATTATTAATTGGAGTAATTAAATAGTGACAGAGAGGATAACCGCTGTCGCCTAATAAAATGCTATTTTCCATTTCATTGTTTTCAAATTTCATACGAATTGTTGAATTCCTAAATATATGGCTGTCATGACTTGCTCCTGGCCAACGACATACAATATTTCTAATTTTATAGTTTGCATCACATACAGCTTGGACGTTGATAGAAAAAAACCTTTTCTGTTTCTGAAATTCTCAGCATGTTCACCACCTAGGTACAAAATATAGCTAACACTTCACTATCATATAAGGAACTAACCTGGATTTTGGATTCTTATGTGTGTGCAATCAATGGCACCAATAACTCTAGGAAACCTTGCGATAGCATAGAAACCTTGCTTGATTATTGCCATTTCCTCAACGGTATCTGGCATTTTAATGTACACTGGGCTTAATTCCGCAATAGCCCTTGACACTCTTCTTATAATTTGTCCAGAAGTGGTTCGATGTAAACCTCCAAAATCTCCAGCTACTATTTGAAAACTACCACAAGCATAAAACCTAAGAGCAACTAGTAACTGTTGTAAAGGTGATACAGCATGATTTCTAAAACGATAAAAGATGTGGTATACAAACTAATTACCATTACACGATTTACCTATCTGTGCGATGTCTTATATTGTCTTCAATGAGACCATTAATGTGAAGTGCAGTATTTTTTGTCACTCTAAAGCGATTGAAAAATTGTTCCTCATTCCATCCATGGAAATTATCTTGTCTCTCCCTAACCATATATCTCTGGCGATTTAATCCTAAATCTTCAATTTCCTGCATCTCTATTTCATCATCCAGTTCATGAAAATACATTTTTTTTAAGATCCTGCAATTGCTTTTGAGGTTAGGTATATAAGTAAATTAGAAGGGTATGTCAATGGAAAATATTTTTTTTACTTTTGATTTTACTTACCTTTCACGTATATTTTACGAAGATTAATATCACAAGAAACTTTTGTAATTGATGGTTTAAACTACCTTATCAGGAGCTCATACTAGCTAATAAGATATTTAGCTAATAAGGTTAGTTACTAGGTACCTATTAATTGTTAGGAGGTGAAAATCCGTAAAAAACGTTTATTAGCTAAATAAATTTATTAAGTAGTTTATTAGAAGGTGGATATCTCGGCCCTAAGATAAACTTACTTTTTATTATTTCAATTATCAGGGTATCCGATAGTTTTAAATTACCTCCTTTGCCGGTCCAACTACAGAACTGGCCTAAATGCAATTAACACGCAAATTACAACAAACGCATTCACAATAAATTTAGCACAGACCGAACCACTTTACTCGACTGAGACTGACCAAAATTGAAGAGTGTATATGTTACGGTTAAAGTATTTACTTGGCTAGTATATAAACTAGATGGATAGTACACAAACTATCCAACTGCCTGGTTATTTTGATGAAAAATCATATTTTCACTAAAATAGCTACGAGTAATGGCTGGTTTGTATACTATCCAGCTAGTTTATAAACTATACAAAATTTATCGCTAAAACACAAACCACAATGAAATTACACAAATTAGCTAGCATTTTTGGCTAGTTTGTAAACTATCCACATTAGTTGGATAAAGTGTGAACCTGATATTGGTAGTAATACATAATAACCAACGAGTTTGTTATTATGTATTACTCAACAAACTAATCAGTTCTCTTGGGTTAATTTAGTTTAAGATAGTAAAATCCTTAGTCAAAAATGGTTTCTTTATTGGTACAATGTAAGATTGTTACAGGTACCTATTATTACTTTAGAAAAAGTAAAAGAAATATAACTCAAATAATACCAGGTGACAAAATATTAACAATAAAGTATGTCAGGACATTAAAACCACTAAACAAAGAACAGTATTATTTGTTGGAGCAAGTTGCACTGTTGTGGCACTTACTATTACACGTATATCCAGACGCAAGACATTTACACTTTTTATTCGCACAACTCTTCTTGCAGTGACATCGCACATATCCTTGGGTTGAACCCGATACTGAAAATTTTCCTGCAGCGCTTCGTAATGTTATTTCGGTGTCCGTCTTGACATTTTCCAACTTTAAAAATTGTTGCTTACATATTTCAAATTCGTTGCGGGAATAAAGCTGTTTAAGAACACCGTGAACAGTTCCAATTCGGTAAAATTCATCTTCTACGCCCAATATATTTCTATGATCTGACCGACTTCGATCTACATCTGGAATGGGTACTCTCACGGAGATGCCGACGGCTCCTGGTTTAAATTTCTTGCGAGAAGTTTGTAGCATTTTTTGTGCTTGCCTTTTTAGACTTTCCTGGCATGAATCCCTTATCGCTTTAATATTGTTTTTATTCTGACAATGGTCACACACGTTTTCATCAGAACATAATAAGCATTTTTGTGGTAATGATTCATTGAGAGCATTTTCTGTTGTTTCAGTAGAGAGCAATGCCATTGCTTGTTCTTTAAATAAAACCGAGGTTCTATTGTTAACTTCGAGTGAAACTGGGGTTTCAGTATTATTTTCGGGTAAAACTGGGGTTTCGGTATTAAGTTCGAGTAAAATTGGGGTTTCAGTATTATCTGCGAATACAACTGGCCTATGAGTATTATCGGGCAGCATAACCAGCGTAGCATTTTCAATTAAATCTAAAAGAAATTAGGTTGCATTGTGAAATAATGTGGAAATACTTTCTAGATACGTACCAGACAATTGTTGGGCGGCCATTTCCTCTTCAGTGACTGTAGATTTTTCATCGGGTACAAAATTATTTGAAGGATGTGAATCTTCTTCCACTTTATCCTCGGTGTCATTACTAGAAGATAATAATGTTTCCAGTTCCTCTTCTGTACGTATGGATTTAATGTTTGTGATAGAAACAGGGAGGTTATTTAAACCATCTCTACATTTTACACCATATAAAGCTTCATAAGGACTGCGTCCAATACCAGAATGAAAGCAGCTACAAAAAACAATGAACTGAAGTAAAACGTAACTTATACAAAGAAAAACACAGTTTCTTTTCTTAAATTTCAAAATACTAGCTTACCGATTTTTTTGAAATTGAACGATTTTTAAACCTTCGCTCCATTTTGTCGAGTTATTATCTTTCATCCACGACGCTAACTTGTTCTCTATATCTTGGTTCGCCCTCTCCACTGAACCTTGTGATTGTGAATGTCTCGGTTTACCATGCACAATATGGCAGTCAGGCCACATTCCGACTAATTCCTCAATCACCTAAAAAAATCAATATGTATTGATTTTGTTTTATTTCATCCATAGCAGCAAAATAAATTTGTAGTCACCATCTGGTCTAGTTTGTAAGTCAATGAGATCGATTTGGCATCGAGAGTTTAAATGGTTTGAAACAATTGGTTTAACAACAATTCCCTTTTTAGTTTTGTTCCGTTTAAGCTGACAATTTTCACAAGTTTCAATGAACAATTTTACCATTTCCTGTGTTAAGTTGTGATACTTTTCGTTTGTTGTTGCTTGACGCCCTCCATGTCCAGTTCCCTGATGGGCAGCTTTAATCGCATCATAACATTCACTAAAACGTAAAATAATCTTTCCAGATCTTCTATGTAGAATTACATAAGATGATTCGATTCTTTGTAAATCATAAGTATTTATCACATGATAATCACTCTTGTTACTACTGTCAGGTCCAGTTTCGCGTATTCTTTTGATACGTTGCAAAAGTTCACTATAATCGCTATCATTCATTAATTTTGAATTTTGCGACTTTTGGTCATAAACTTCTAATAATAGGTTTTCAAATTGTTGCTGTTGATTCATTTTTAATAACCCGATACCTATTATTAAACAAATTTCACGAAACACAACTGTACACCGTCACAGCACACAACACTTGACGAAACATAACCCCACTAAATTACCCAAAGAGAATTGGTTGGTTTACATAATAACCAACTCGCGTTGGTTGGTTTACAAAATAACCAACTCGTTGGTTATTATGTATTACTACCAATATCAGGTTCACACTTTATCCAACTAATGTGGATAGTTTACAAATTAGCCAAAAATGCTAGTTAATTTGTGTAATTTCCTTGTGGTTTGTGTTTTAGCGATAAATTTTGTATAGTTTATAAACTAGCTGGATAGTATACAAACCAGCCATTACTCGTAGCTATTTTAGTGAAAATATGATTTTTCATCAAAATAACCAGGCAGTTGGATAGTTTGTATACTATCCAACTAGTTTATATACCAGCCAAGTAAATACTTTAACCGTAACATATACACTTGCGCGTAGACGGTCGAGAATGTTCGGTATTCTGAACCCGAAACTCAAGGTGCATTATTGTACACCATATATGTACTGATATATGTTTTACACATACACACACACACATTGCTATTGTGTAAGGGGGGCGCGGTAATAATTATTTTTGATAATTGGGTCGCGAATGGTGAAAGGTTGAGAAACGCTGTGTTAAGCAAATTAAGATTTATGTAGGTGCTGTTGAAACAAAATTTAATTGCAAAATAGAAAGGTTAAGATGTGATAACGGAGGAGAGTACGCTTCGCATTCGTTTAGGGAATTATGCATCAAAAGGGGAATTAAAATCCAGTATAATGTAGCGTACAATCCAGAGCAAAACGGAGTCGCTGAACGGTTTAATCGTACAATTATGGAAATGGCGAAATGTTTGATTCGAGATTAAGAAAAGAATTTTGGAGTGAAGCAATGAGAACTGCTACCTATTTGATTAATAGATTGGAAACAAAGGCACTAAATCAAAATACAACCCCTGCAGAAATTTGGTACAAGGAAAAGCAAAATCTTTCAAAGATTAAACTCTTTGGTTGTAATGCGTATAATTTAGTTCTGAAGGAAGTATGGTCTTCGAAATTGCACCCACGTACTGAGAAAATGTTGATGTAACGGGTATAGATTACGAGGATGAAGATAGAAAGAAAATTGCTCACGCGAGAAATGTTATATCCTGAGATTTACCCTAATATACTTGTTGAGAATCCTGAAGAAGTGGATAACAATGAAAACATCGAAGCTGAGCAAGAAGATTCCGTTGGGGTTAACGATGGAAAT